AAGAACAGTAAAGGAAGCACTGGAATCTCTACTGGTTTTGTTTTCCCCTCAGAAACCAGGCACACATGTCAAAGCGTTTTCCTTCTTCCTTCTCTGGAGAACCCACTTCACCTCTCTAGACTTTTTGTGGACTTCTTGCCCTCTGAAGTCCCGTGATCACCTGTAGTCCAGATCACAAAATTATCACTTAATAATGAAAAGGGCTGCCTGGGTGGCTCAGTCAGTTGAGTGTCCGACTCTTGATTTCGGCTCACGGTTCGTGAGTTCAAGCCCTACGTTGGGCTCTGTGCTGACCGTGCAGAGCCTGCTTGGGATCCTCTGTCTCTCCTCTCTCTCCGCCTCTCTCTCTCTCTCTCTTTCTCTCTCTTTCTCTCTCTTTCTCTCTCTCTCCAAAATAAATAAATAAACTTTAAAAGAAGAAGAAGAAGAAAACAAGAATATCCATTATTTGAATGAAACATCACTGGAACAGATGTTTTAACTACATTATATCCCTTAATACAGTGGTTGCCAAACTTCTCTGCACTTGGGAGTCGCCTGGGAAGCTACAAGGAACTAATGCCTCTGTCTCACCCCAGAAATAATGATTTAATTGGCACAGAGCACGGCCTGGGCTCTGGAATTTAATAACCACCCTCTAAAGTGATTCTAATGTGCAGACAAATTTGGCAATCCCTCCCTTAATCTTCGAATGACTGACATAGGAACTGAAATCATCCCCTCTTTACAGACGAAGAGCCAAAGGTGGAGCAAACTTGAGTCCTTAGCCAGCCCCATATCAGCCTTAATGAGAGCCAGACTCTGCAGTCAACTTGCCTGTTGTCCGAATCCGGCTACTCGGTGTGTGGTCCACAGGCCGGCAGCACCACCTGGGAGCTGGTCTGAAATGCAAATTCTGGGGCCCCACACTGAATCAGAAACTGGGGTGGCGCCCTGCTTGTTTTAACAAGCCCTCCAGGGCATTCCATTGCCTGCTGAAGTTTGAGAACCTGCTCAAGAGATGTCAGGATGCCCCGTCGGTAATGGTAATGCGCTGCCAGCCTAAGGAGCATAAAACCCCTAGGGGTCCTTTGACTTGACTGTATATGGGATCATCTGGGCTGCTGGTTGAAAATGATCAGCTTCGAAGATTTTTTTTCTTTATTTTAGGCAGTTAGAAATGCCGGAACTATTCTGCTTTCTGTCCTGTTTCATGTTTGTGAATTTTAAAGCCAACAAAGACACGCCCACATCATCTTGGAGGCAGAGATTTCCTCCTGCACCCCCGCAGCTCTCCCTGGTGATGGGCAGGCAGCAGCGCCCAGAGGCTGATGCCTGGTTGATAACCCGGTGGAACCAGCCCTGGGGCGCCCAGGTAATTAGACGAGCCTGATCAGAGCCTTGCTTTCCACGATGGAGACTGTTGCCTTCCATAATCGGAGTGCATGGGAGGCACAGCCTGTCCTAGAAGCTGGGCAGGTAGCGCCCGCTGCAAAAGGCAGCCAAGCCTGGCGAGAGATCAGAGGAAAGAAGCATCTGGTTCTGCGGTCCCTGGGCTCCAACAGGTGCCCCTCAAACCATTGGGCCTAACATCTCTGTATGCAGACCCTAGAGGCCAGGAGGTGACTCAGGCCCCAGATTTCCCCAGGCATGGAAAGGCTGCATCTAGAAAAGCATACCTTCCTCTTACCTTTTTTTTTTTTTTTTTTTTTTTTTTTTTTTTTTTTTTTTTGGTAGCAAAATAATAACTTGACACCAGTCCAAGCAGGGAAAAAGGCACTAAAAGGAACCCAATTTAGAAAGGTTTTTAGTAGGCTAAAAACAGATGTGGCAAGCCATTTCAGGATATTGCGGGAGATGAGATGGAGAGGGCGGGATTCGAAATGGCTCGTGGGCCTCTTCTGGGCCCGCCCAGCCAGGTGGCTCCGCACAGGACGAAGCTCTGCCCGTAATGCCTTCTGGAAGGAAGCAACCCCAAGGCTTCCTTTCTGCTAGTCACGGGTGGTGTGATGCATGTGGCGCGGAGTTAGCGTGGGGAGCACTCAGAGCTGCCGGGGTCTCTCACGGGTCACCTGGAAGGCAGCGGCACTTGTCCCTGGGGGGGCGCCGCTGTAGCCAGAGCCCCA